TACAGTAACGAAGTACATTTACTTCGTTACTTGACACAACGTTAACTGTACAGCATTTGGGCTGCTGCAATTGCCAAGGAAGACGTTAAATCGTAGGTTTCGTCGTGTTATTCAGTTTTAATTTGTGAAATTATTGCATATTTTGCCTTTTGCCGAAAATGTATCTAGCTGCAGCTTTTATCAGAGGCATTGTTTTCTTTGATTTTGGTATTCCTGTATCTTTTTCAAGATTTTTCTCGGCTATTTTGCACTTGTTGAGACAAAAACAAATGGACGATTACCAAGCCTGTTAATTTTACAACTGTTTTTATAACATGTAGAACTATAGATAAAATAGCTTTGTTCCTTTAGTCTATTCCTTCTTGCTTTCTGATATTTTTTATTTTAAAAGCTCTATAGTTTTGTTTATGTTTGGCTAAAAAGCGAAGTGAGGAAAAATACAGAAAGAACCACGGGCACCAGTGCATTATGGCGTCACAATGCACGCGCACTAGCCATTCAAATTGTCTGTTATATCCCACTTCTAATGTGGCGTAATAATATTGATTTATTTAATCTCAATTTCGATGCGACGCTTGGAGGGAGCAATTGAAGCTGCTCTGTTAAAAAGAGACCTCGAATTTGCGATGAAGAACGAGCAGTTCGATTTCATTTGATTTGTCGCAGTCAGCAGGGATGTGCTTGCTGCTTTGCCAGATGGTTGTGGGAAATCACTGATTAAAGTTCAGACGTGCATACCCTTTCTCTTGGTGTTGAAACCTCGGCCGTTTTTCGAAAGACGAAGTTTTTCATTAGACTGACATCACTAAAAATTCAGCAACTTACAGTATATAGCAATACATATTCAAACTGCCTTTTCTACCAACTTGTAAGCACTGACTTAGTATTTTAAAGATTTATTTATTAACAACATTTCGACTAATATTTAGTCATCATTAACTCTAGTTACGCATAAATTTAGGAAGCGGAATTAAATAAGAAAAATATAGTTTATGCAAGATTGGTTTACTGGAATACTCATCTTATACAAATGAGTACAATTTGTTGTCTTCCTTGTCTTGGATTTAACATACCATTGTTAATGAACGCATCTTTATTGACGTTGCCGTCTATCTGCAAAATCTCAAGTTAATTTTGCAATGGAACTATATCGCTTTTGTTTTTACTTTTAAAGTTTTAAAATAATTTAAAGCATAAAAATTCAGGTCTCGTAGATTTTGACGATCTCCTATTTTTTCTTGCATTGTAGATTAACGCGGCTTATGGAAGAAGCAACCTTGCCAGTAATTACAGACGCTCTCAAGTTACAGGTTTTACGTAAGATGATACGTTATTATTTATAACAAGACGCCTGCTCAGGCGTTCACACTGGCCTGAAAATAACGAGATACGTGCTATGGTGCAAAAAGTAGGAATACAAATCTTAAACCGCAAGCAAATTTTATGGACTTTTTAAAAAATAAAAGACCTTTCGGGAGACGTAATGGAGATCGATGCACGTGAAAATCATGCCGACCTACAGAATCGATTTCCGGTTTTTCCTAACAGCGCGTTGTTTTCATGTGCGTTCCATGCTAAAAATATAAATATGCGTTAAATAATATAAATATGCGCTATAATAATATAAATATGCGTTCCGCGCTAAAAATATAAATATTCTGTAATATAAAATATAAAAAATATAAATATACCGAAATAAAAGATGAAAATCTCAAGACACAAGCTTGAAAATAACACTATAAATAGTGTTTTCGATTCTGGTTCCAATAACATTATCACGAAAAAAACATGTCCAAAGGGGCAGAAGTTATGTTCAGCAAAATGTATGGCTAGTTTACATTGTTAGTTGTATTATGAAATATGATACCATACTTGTATTAAAATTCGCGTCGAACTAATGTTATTGTAAATGAGTAGACTTGCCACAAGTCGACCTCGAACGAAATGCGTTTCTTCGAGGTCAACTTGTGGCAAGTCTAGCAAATGAGAACCATACAAATGATACAATAATAGTTCTAGTTCTTGTTGGTATTTTGAACGCACGCTTTATATTTAGTATAGCTACCACAAAGCTTTTCGCGTGGATTATATTTCGTGGAGTACTAAATATTTTTTTGTGGTTTTCGAGTCATCACACAAAGACACATTAATTCAACACGCAAGAAAGTCCAGAGTACGACACAACGTAAAATACATAGGAAACTGGCACAATTCTTTGAAAATTCAACGAAACTGTGTAAAATATAGTTTGATCACTCTGTGAAAAGCCGCCATTGGAGTTCGGAATTGTGCGCGTGCGTACAAGTGTATGGGCTAATAAACAAAAAAGGTACCACAAGCATTGCACGAGTCAACTGTTACGTACATATATACGAGCTTATTACTATATTAACTAAATCGTGGAACCGAGAGACTCGATGGCATTTTGGTTTAATCACTGCACCCTGAGCCTGCGATGAGCTAACGCAAACTCGATTTCTCGACTACGAAAAAAAACAGAAAAAGAGGGATTTAAGACACTTGGCCTACAGGCCAGTGTAATAATTACTTTATGATTCTTTGGCCTTTGAAATCTTTTATTCAAATAAAATTAGCATTTCAAGTTACAAACGTCGGTTGAATATTATACACCATCATCAGTGCATAATACATGGTGCAACTAACTGTTCTTAAAAACTATTCTCCTCCACTTGTGGGCCGTTAAATGGTAATGTGCGTATGCTCTACCATACTCAAGACTTAGAAAGGGGCCATGCATGCTCAAGCTTTAAGGCTCACAGAATAGCAGCTTTTCCTGAAGTTCAAATGCGCTTTACGTCAAGTTTACGCTTACCTATAACTAGAAAATACATGCATGCAGAAACCCTCGCCTTGCTGACAAAACCATTGTATTTTCCGAACATGAAGTATCTAAAGTAGTTGTCATGGTAACACAATAATTTTTTAAGAATATTCTTACAAATGAAAAATCGCCTAAAAAATATCACTTTTAAATACAAAATTATCAATTTCCCAACATATATATGTTAGGTATGTTATTCTACGTAATATAAGCCTCAATTTTCAAGGTGTTCGTGATCGCGCCGTGACGGGAGGGCGCGCGTTTGGCCAGTCCGTAATAAATGCGGATTTTTTGCCACTTTTTTCGTGAATCCATACGGAAATTTCTACCTATCTATCATCAAAGGTTTGATCTACCTGGAACCTTACATTTTATTATAGCTGGATATTTGGCGTTTAAGAAAACTCTGTACAGTGTTTATTGACGACGAAAGTTTGAAATTTCAGTTGGAGTCGTTAGATTATCGTGCAAGCATACGGCGCACGCGACTACAGTATACGTCAGCGCAAGAACAGCCCATTTGAAACTAGAATATTCATTTAGAACAGCTTTAATCAAATAATTGTATTCTTGGATCCAATTCAACTTATCAAACTCTATGAAATGATGGGAAAAAGGAACTCGGGAAATTGCAAACGTTTGCTTTGCTTAACCGCTGAATTTTTTATACTTCATACATTCGTTCTTTGGTTAGCGAGAAGATCTAAACCTGTACTTGTCGAACTGAACACTGCAAGAATTCCCGGCAAAGTAACGATTTCTGCAGAAATAATGTCAATACCGGAGAAATTAAGTCATATTTGGAGCTCGACCCGCGACAATTCTCTGCGAAAGCCTTCATTTCCATTTAAAACCATTTACCGTTATGGCCTGCAATTCGACATTAAGAACAATAAAGCGCATGTTTTCTTATGTATTCTACTCGCCGGTGATGTAGGTACCAATCCTGGACCCACGAGAAGAAACAACCATCAACCAAACGGCAGCCAAAGTTGTTTCGCGAGATGCCTTGTAATCAACGCTCGAAGTTTAATAAGCTCGCACAGGTTAAATGGTAAACAATCTTGCCACTTGACTAACTTCCAAAACCTTGTGTACACCAAACAAGCGGACATCGTGTGGGTAACAGATACTTGGCTAAGAGATGACATCGATATTCAGAAATACTTCACTGGAGTGATTATACTATCTACCGTAAAGATCGTAAAACTCGTGCTGGTGGAGTTCTTCTTGCACTAAAGTCTAGCTCCTTTTTGTCATCTCGCGAGATTGTTACTGATAGCGATCTAGAACTAGTTACAATAGAATTAACATCCACCTGCAACAAGAAATACCTGGCATGTTGTACATACAAGCCCCCGCAGACTATGAACAGGAAATGGCTGGACGAGTTCAACCTCTTTTTGGCTAATAAGTGTTCCGATTACGCCAACATACTGATATGCGGTGACTTCAACTTCCCGAAGATCTGTTGGGAATCGTCAGAGTTAACAGCCGGCGAAGACGAAGTCCAGTTCACAGAAATTCTCAACGATCACTACCTAACACAAGTAAACCGAGTTCCAACAAGAGGCGACCACATCCTCGATCTCGTCATCAGCAGTGTTGCTGAAAACGTTCAAAATATGTCTGTACTCAGTCCTAGCCAGAGCGGTTTAATAACCGACCACTCAGCAATCACGCTCGACATTGCGACAACGTTCAAAGCACGTCCGAAAATTAAACGATCTGTCTTTGATTATAATCGAGGGAACTTCGAAGGACTTCATGCAACTCTAGAGTCGGTTGACCTTTGCGGTGCAGTCGAGTCAGCAGTGGACATTAACTACGGTTGGTTGAAATGGAAAGAACTATTTCTCAGTGTTGTACGCGACAGTATTCCAATAAAACCCATCAGCAACGTCAATAATCCGGCTTGGATCAACGGTGAGATAATCCAAGCTATCAGAAAAAAGGAGACCGTGCGTCGGAAACTGAAAACATCGCCAACGGATGTACTGAGAAAAAAGTTCAAGGCTTTGTGATCCAAGGTGAAACGATTGATCACTGAAAGTCGTTGTCAGTTCTTCCAGAACATCAGCGAAGCCCTCTTCAATAATCCCAAACGATTGTGTTTAAAATCAACAGTAAACGTGCCAGTGTTCCAAGATCAATGACAATGGGATCAAATGGATTAGATCCTGACTCGGCCCGCTCAGCTTCATGTCCTCGCGACATAGCAGAACTGTTCAACGACTACTTCTTTTCCATTGTGTCTGGAAGCGACAAAACGACTCAAACGGACAATCCATCCTCGCCAACTGATAGCAACTTGTCAGAGTCAATTCTTTCTCTTGATGACGTTCTAGCTGCACTCCTCAGCCTCGATACCAACAAAGCCACAGGTCCGGATGAAATACCACCAAGAATACTAAAGGAATGTGCTTACCAAATTGCTCCGTCATTATGTCTACTGTTTAATTAATCACTCCGACATGGCTCCTTACCAGATGATTGGAAGCTCGCGAACATCATCCCTATCCATAAAAAAGGAGACATCTCCAACGTTGAAAACTACCGTCCAATTTCGCTTCTGTGTGTAACATCCAAAGTCCTCGAGCGCTGTGTGCTGAGAAAACTGAGAGATTATCTGATGTCCCTGATTAACTTCGCTCAACATGGTTTCATTCCTGGAAGGTCATGCACAACCCAGCTAGTCGAAGTTTTGCACCACATTGGATCCATTTTAGACTCTGGTAAACAAACTGATATAATCTTCATGGACATGTCAAAGGCTTTTGACAGGATCAGCCATACAGCTCTGATAAACAATGTCAACAGTATAACATTGGCGGATCTCTTCTCCAATGGTTCACATCGTATCTACATGAGCGCCAACAGCGCGTCACAACTCTTGGCGCTACTTCTTCCAAAAAACCAGTGTGCTCCGGTGTTCCGCAAGGCTGTATCTTAGGACCAATACTCTTCCTCCTGTATGTGAATGACTTACCAGACGCTGTAACGAACTCGACAGTTGCGTATTTTGCAGATGACACCAAAATCTTCCGTAGAATTGACTCCATCACCGATGCTATGTTACTTCAGGACGACATCAATAACCTTCAATCCTGGTCCACGTCAAGCGGTCTCGTGTTTAACGAAAGAAAATTCAAAAGTATTAGCATTACCAGACCTAGTCAACCAATCCATCATCTATATAACATCAAAGGCAAAGAACTTGCACTTATACCAGCAGAGAACGATCTAGTAAATGGATTCCGAGCGATCTAACCTGGTCTAAACACATTTTAGACCGGTGTGCCCGGGCCAGCAAACTCCTTGGATTTATAAAGCGATGTTCTGGGGAAATAAGCGACGCGAGGACCCGCCGGACTCTGTATATGTCTTCGGTTCGGTCGGTTGTTGGTTACTCGAGCCAGGTTTGGTCGCCTCAAACCGTAACCCTCATCCAACGTATCGAACGGGTCCAAATAAGAGCAACGAAGTACATTTTAAACCTTCCGTACTTGTGCAGTGAGACTTATCGAGAACGACTTGCCAGTTTGGGCCTCTTACCGCTATCTTACTGGCATGAATACTTGGATCACGTATTCTTTTTCAAAGCGGTGAACGGCTTGGTCGACGTGTCCCATGACGCCCTCCCCGAAGTCATGTCCCAAACCAGAACGACCAGATCCTCCAGTGGCAACCAAATGTCCTTCCGTCCGGCCAAATGCAAAACCTCTACCTACCAACGCTCCTTGGATTTCCTGACATTAATATTAGGCAATTCAAAACCGAATTACAAACTTACTAACTGACAGCCCTGAGAGAATGCTTCGACGAAGAAGATCCGAGGACATGGAAGACTATATGTCTGAAGTGTAACACTAGTCGTTACTTACCTTCTGAACTAACTTGTTGTTTTTAGTCTCCTGTCCATGTACTGTATGTAATATATTCTGTACTGTACAGTATGTGTATTTTTGTATAGGGTCCAAAGTAATTGGTTTACACTGTTGTGGTGTCCCTGCCATTTTTGTCCATGTTTATTGTCTAGATGTCTATTTGCTGTTCTGTTAAGTGTTTTTGGCAAAGTTTAATAAATAAATAAATAAATTTCAGGTAAAATTCAACCACAAACGCTTCGCAAAACGTTTTAAAGTGTTCTTTATAAAACTAAACTGCTTTTAATTAAATGGCTTTACCGATAAACTTTGAGTTTGCAATAAAATGATTTCAAATTCTCGCTTGCAAATATCTTTACTTTCTTTTTTTATTTAAAAAATTCAATATAATAAAAAAGGGAATCAATATTAAAGATACACTGAAATTATATGCTGTCTTGTTTGATTGTTTCATATACGCAAAGGCAGTCGGGTTTTAAAGCAATTATAAAATCAATGTTAACGTCGGCTCCCTTCTTTTAGCCGATTCTTTCGACCTTTCTTTCTGAGAAAGCTTTTGAAATTTACAAAATCTTGCAAAAATGCGAGCAAAAATGAAATACATTTGCAAGAAATTTATCAATCATCAAATCAAGAAATGTTTGCTATTTCGCTGTCGTCATGCAGTCGTTATAATGCAAACTTTAAATTGGACCAATCAGGGTCCGCTATACATGACAGTCCGCCATATTTTTGAGATCAGTGAGGATGACCACACATCGTTGGTCACCCACACCCGCGATAATTGATGAACTGTAGACTTCGCCAATACTTTCGTTTCCCCGGGTGTAAATAGCACGGGGATTAGTACCCTCGCACGGCGCTTCGCGCCGTCGGCTCGGGGATTATATATTAGCCTAAACTATTTTATCTCACAACCATTGTGATATTACTTTCTTAATTGTGTTTATCCCCGAGCCGGCGGCGCGAAGCGCCGTGCGAGGGTACTAATTCCACACGGCTAATTATACCCGGGTATGTGAAAACATAGCATTCATAGCTATCATTGCTTCTTGAAATGGGACAGAGGGCTCGAATTACCATATCTGAAACACTATGATTGCCATTATTAAAATGTCTGGCAACAGGTTGGTTAGTATCATTGCCAATGACTGCACGCCGATGCTCACCAAACCTTATATGGTAATTCGAGCCCTCTGTCCCATTTCTGGAAGCAATGATAGCCGCAAACGACATGAAATGCGCCTCATATCCAAACTTGGCACTCTTCATCCTTCTGGTATTAATGAACGCTTTTCCTATGTTTAATTCCTTCTGTCCTTGCCTGTCCTAAGCAGACATTGACAACATTTTACTTTTACCTTATTCCCACTTTTGTTTTGTTTCGTTTTGATTATTATTTTTTGTAGTAATTATCTTAGCTTCCTGTATATTTTGTAGTTTTTATTATGTTATATTCTGTAATGAGATTTACATATTTTGTTTACACTTTGTTATGATTAAATCCATATAATTGGTCTATTTTTCTTCACGTGATGCTTTCATACTCTTAGTATAAAAGCCCGTGCATTTCCCCCGATCCCTGCTACTAACCCTTGACGAAGGGCCTTCGCTCGAAACGTCGAGTTTCTGCGTATTTTTTAAGGTAGTAATATAACCACTCAGCACAGCATTTCTAACCCACCCTGTCAACTTTCAACTTGGGAGGAAACCGGAACACCCGAAGAAAACCCACGACTTTCGGTAGAGCGTTGACTGACTCTTCTCCGTATCGAGAGTCGAACCCACGCACTCAGAGGTGAAAGGCGCTTGCTTTGACGACTACGCCACTGAAGTCCCATGTACAATATCATTCTTTTACTTGCAGGGAAGGATCAGTGCGTGCAACATACGTAGCTACATTTGATCCAGCAAGTAATGAAACGGTTTCAAATGTTCAAGCGGCCATACAACCTCAACTTAGCGAGAACGTTAATGGAACTTTCCTTGGGCAATATCAACTCTCTGGCACCAGGCAGACTGCAGTACTGTATCAAGGTAAGTTAAGTTTATGTTCTCATTTCGTATGGTGAAGCTGTCGTCTCATAAGGATATACAATTATTTTAATTAAGGTTGACAGATTGTCAAAATTTGATATACCCATCTTCCTGTTAGCTCCAAAAGCGAACAGGAAGATGGATATACCAAATTTTAATATTTCAAGTTTTTGAAATTTTCTGGGGTATACGTACTGTACAATGTCATGCTTTACAGTAAATTAACACTATAAATTATAATCTTACTACCATGGCGCTTAAATTGTACGTTTGGATATTTCTTGTGACAATTGTAACCTTCATTGAATTAGCAGTATGTTGAATGAAAGTTAACATCATGGCGTCAGAGCTACCTGCAAACCTTAGCCAGAAGGTCTTGGCACGTTAAAAACTTCCCAACGTCTTTTGACGTCTTTGGGAACGTTGACCCAAACGATTGTTTGTTTATTTTACAAAGTAAAACTATCTGAAACAATCCTATTTCAATCGTATTGTTATACTGTACTTTGAAACAATTTAGCCAAGGACTTCAAAGAAAAAACAAGTCATAATCTTTTACAAAATAAGTTGACAAAAAACTTGAGACCGATGATATTAATTTGATGATATTAATTTGTATATTGCTTATACTATATAATGCTGTAGTGGGAGGGTGCCAATAGAAACTTACAGTTTTGTTTCTATCTTTTGTCAATTAAGAAGTATGCTCATTTCAAGTATTTTTTTTCGCGACAAATATACTCAACTCAATTCCAACTGAAATGATGTGTGCAAAAATGTAATGATATAGTATTTGATTCCCAAATAGATTATGATGAATGTAATCCAGCATCAAGCATTCATATTCAAGACTGTGGTACTGGAGCAACATGTACCAACCAAATAGGAACATATTCTTGTCAATGCGATACTGGTTATGAAGGAACTCCACCTGGTTGCGCAGGTATGTATACAGGGTGTATCAAAATAAACGCAATTCATCTTTTGTGCTTAATAACTTTCGAAATACTATTTCTAGTTAAACGCTTTTAGGCTTACTTCAAAGCCTGTTCTTTTCTCTTTCAAACAAACTATTATCCTTGTCTCCAATGCCAGTAATAATTGCACAGGAAAAGATTTAGTAAAACCTATCATTTTTAGTTGCTGTTTAATTATGCAAGTTTACTATGTTATTGTTTAGTCGGTTTAAATGTTAGAATTTTCTTCTTTAAACTTTAATGTTGTCGTCACTACATCTGGAAAACCACGTAAGAACAAATTAAAAGTATTTTAAAAGAGACCAGGTTGTTTGAAAATCCCAAACGAATGCTAAAAATCATAGAATCAAAACATTCTGGTGTCTGAGCCAGAGTGTCATCGAATTGCGATGTAATGTAAACAGAAATTATAGCAAGCTGATGTCAGTCAGCTTAGATGGTCCAAACCAAAATTATATCGCATTTGAAGTTTCAAACTGTGTTAAAAATAGTGGAAGAAAAGCCGTAATTATACTTATTGTTACAATCCATTTATTAAAATGCAACATGTTTTTGTTTTAATGAAAAAACCCAGTTATTTTCATGAGAACGATTTGTTATTCCATCTCAATTTTTCTAATCTCCAATCGCAATAACGTAAAGTATTATTACCCGCGAACCAATGAGTCCAATTTAAGAAACAACCCACTGTTAGAAAGCTGAATGCCTACGCTTTAAAATGAATGTAAACTTTAACGTTTTCGTCTATTATTTGTTTAGCAATTTACATTTCAGTCGAGGATTGCGCTTTTTTTGATACACCCTGTATAGTTGAATTATTTTTGATCACGTGGTTAAAAAATCTGATGGCGAGTAAGGTGTCTCAAACGGTTTGAGGTTTGTTAAATATCTCATTTCCGACTGAATGTTATGGAACAAACATCATAAAATGGAAAGTATAAACAAAACCAAAGCTAATTTCGTTTGGAGGGATGCAGCTAATTAAACAATAATATGACATTCAATTCAACGTTTCAAGCAGAGGCTCTTCAATTCGTCGAAAGTTAGTGAGTTATTTTTAGTCGGGAATTTCGTAGCTGGTTATTTACTTACTTCACCACGAAGGGCTTCAAAACGTCAAATTTTTCCTTATCTTTTTCAAGTAGTTGCATCCCAACCAACGAAAGCTTTGTCATTATTGGCACTATACCTTCACTGGCACAGACAGTTCAAGATTATGGACACGAACATGCCGTGAATGAATTTCAAATGATAATGCATAATTAAGAATAATACTACATTGTAGTTGGAAAATCAATTTAATTGGGTACGTGCTTACAGTTAAATCGCGCAATCGCGCAACCTACAGAAAATTCAGTTATCTAGATCTGCTAGCAGATACTGAGTTATCTGCAAATGAGCCTGCGATCATTAGGAAGCGGTATCTATTTAACACAAACAAATGTATAATAACAGGTGGGAAATTTGTCTACGCATGCGCCACAATTTGCGCGGTTTAAGAGAAAAAGACTTGGGGCGAGTAAACATAGTAATTTGATTTTTGAGCGTTTTATTTGCGTTTTTAGTCTCGTTCTTTCTGCTAACCAAAACATTGTTAATCTATTGCATTATTGGGAAGGCGAGGAAGGTATCAAAGTATAAAGAGGCTAAAAAAATTCCAACTTTTGCGTAACCTTATACATCGGAACTGCCTCGGATTCCGATGGAAATGTCCAATAATTCCTACTACTCCGCATTTTTAGATGAATGAATTATCTCCAAATATAAAGTACATGTTTTAAGGAGTAGTTTAAACCATATTTCGTTTTGAGGCTCTCGGCTAGATTTTAAAATATTTTAATTTTTTTTATTTCATTGTGCTAACCTTTACCCCCATAAATCACCCCGTATTAGATTGGAGAGAGATGGAAACGTATTCGCATGATTTCAAAACGGATCATATTTTCAATGGATATGCTTTTACGAACAGGATTAGCAAACACATGCACTTTCTAGCGGAATATTCAGAGGCACATATTCAGACTATTACAGACTATATTAGGCGGTTGTGCCGTTTTTGGTATCAACCGGTATTTTCATATAAACAATACTTTGATTAGTGAGTTAAAAAATCTTTGAAGAATAATTTAGAGAGACTCTCGTTTTGAGGCTCTCGACTAGATTTTTTACAGTTTTAAGTTGTAAATTTAGCTTTTTCCTATTTTTAGCAAAATCACGATTTTTGCACTAAGTGTATTCAAGGATTTAATCATAAACAAACTTTCTAAAGTTATTTCTGAGTAGAAAATGCGTTAAAAACAAATTTTAAACCCACCCTGTGTTTATTTTTTTAATTTCATCTGTCCAGGGAGTGAAAACAACTTGCATCTTCGAAAAAAGTTAAATTTCGTCAATATTTCGTCGTAGAGATAAATAGTTTACAATTGTCCGATTCAGTTTGAAGTCTTTTATCAAGGACATTTTTCAACATCCTTGGAATAAACAAACTTAAATTATTGCACATACACTGTGTTCGTCCCAAACGAGAAGCCCAAAAACTTGTTTTTGCTCATTTGAATAATTTAAAACAAAATTTTCGCTAGCGCCCGCAATTTACTGACCAGCGACAGCAAATTTCCCACCTGTTATGTGTAATAAAACAATTATTGAATTCAGTTTTTGCGATATGCAAAATTATCAAGGCCCTGGCCCAACAAAGCGAACTAGCCCTTTTTAACGGGCCAGCCCGGTTTATATGATTGACAGTTCTTTAAATAGAAATTATCCAAATTACTTTAATCAATGTAAATATTACAATTCTAAATATTGCACTTTTATCGCGGCTTGTTGATTATCGTAAATATTGCTCAAGTTCAAATTTACTTCCAACCAGTGCGGATTATACGTCCTATCAATGATTAACAATCAATGATAGTTAGTAATAAGGCAATAGGTTATCATCCTGTTATCATTTACTGTATTTTGTTTTGTATTACTTTAGCAGCTACCAAATTATGCGTTACCAATAATAAAAGTTAAATTTTGCTACTTATGCAGTGAATCTTACGGAAAAGCCATTCTTTGTTGCAAGTATTGCAATCATATTAGTATTATTATTAATACGCAACGAAATATACAATAAATGACAACAAAGTACAAGAGCGGAAATGAGCGGGTTTTAATGTTTTGACTGTAAATAGAAATAGTCCATCGTCTATCGTCTAGGTTCTAGCACATGCCGCCTTTGTTCTCAATACTAATATTTACCCGAAATACAACAAGAAGTTGGCGTTCGCTTTATCAGGTATACTAATCACTCCAGTATATTGTTCACTTTGTACTACAATGGAACCACGTTCTTTATCATAACGTTCTTTCGTTAAATGTCATTGCCGCAAGTTACGACTCTGCACTGTGGCTTTCAAAGCAAAAAGTAGCACTGCTTTATGCAACACTCCTATCAATTGTAATTGGTGTGACAATGAGGGTTTACGTTTCCAGTTGCAAAGAAAGTTGAACTTGTTTCATCATCGAACCAGTAGCGTTGACATTATGGGCGCCCCCTCCTCCGCCAATGTTTTTCACAGTGTAGGTTTTTGATTCTGTGAAATCCAATGAAAAACTGGGGATGAGATGCAAAATTATCAGCAGAAAGTGTTATATTATTTGGTCAGAACAACCGAAAAATTTGTTAAAATGATCCAAATTTTGGTTGTTTTAACCAATAAAAAACTGGTCAAATAAGTGCACTAAGACAACCAAATTTAAATGAAGCTTTAGTGGAAAGTCACACAATAACAAAATAATATGGGATTATTTTTATTTTAGAGATACGTGTAAAGTTTGTAATAATTTTACAACGGGAATTTGTTGAAGAACTAAACGATAAATTATCTCCACTTTATATTGAATTGAAGAAGAACATCACAGCTGAGGTGAGATTAATATATCACATACTTTGAAATACTCAAAATACCGACTCTGTTTTACAGGATGTATAAAAAAAAACTGAACAGATTTGAAATTGCTCTTAATTTCGTAAAACAGCTACTAGTATCCAGTTTTTGATATATATAGCTTCTTTGGGTACTTATAATGTAGAATAATGGAAAAAAATTCTCGAACACAAGTTTTGTAAACCAGGGGTGTGTGTCTTTTTCGACAAACTAAAAATGGCTTGCGCACGAGATTTAAAAGCTATAATCGTATTTTGAGTTAATGGATGAAAAATGTGTTGGGTGTTTGATTGCTGCACGAAATGTCAGACAATTTGCTTCAGTATATAAGCCCTTTAACTATTCACGCAAACTTACATTTTCCTAAAAAATCAGCAATTTGCATGCTTAATTGATGCATTTGCCCAATTTGCATATGTCAGCAATGGGAAATAGTCTTTACTACGCATGCCTGAACCGGCCGATCCACTGGCACAAAGTGTTGTTGCTATGGGAGAAATTTCACTTATTTCTGGCCATCATTGAATGTTGAATTGAAACATTTTTTCTCTTGGGAGCATGTACATATACTACTGAATTTTGTTATCACACAATCGTGGCAATAATTAATAATAAATTATTTCTGGTTGGCTGTAGCTGAGCAATGCGCCTTTTCCCTTGCACTTCACGAATTGATATAATTAATTGCCCACAGACACTCGTCAAGTTACTGCCATCCCAAAACGCTCGAAACAGTTTTTTTTTTCAATGCGCAAACAAGATGAAATAAAGTGTCATTTTGAAATTTTGAGACGTACTAAAAATATCAACTCTAATGACCAGTAAATTTTGAAAGCTTGTCCGGAATTAATGTCTCGTTTTTCAATGATTTAAATTTGCTCAGTTACAAAACCATAGCAAGTTCGTGTAGAAGTTGTAAGATAAACGTACGATAAACTGAATGGTACCCATGTCCCACAATGCCCTAACATCGTGATGTTATATTGAGTAAAACCTTACATATGTCCAATTTGATTGATATATTTCGTGTGCATTTGTGTAGTTGTATGAAATACTGAAGGATACACTAAATTTCCAAGATGTTGTGGTATTAGGATTCAGGTAAAAGAATGAAAAATAAACGTAAACCGAATGACGATGTCACATAGCAAAATTTTTCAACGGCGATCCGCAACGCTTTGCCCAACCAATCAAATTTTGGGTACAAATCGTCGATCAAAAGTAAATCGTTCCGTCGTGTTTTTATTAATTTTTTGCCCACAAAATATCTTACAAGTATAGTAAAAAATAATTACATGCAGTAGTATAATGGCTAGGGATCTTTGGAAATCCGGTTGGACTTTTATGGTAAGGGCCCTAGTTGTAGTACTCTAGTGATAAAAACTATATGAAAGAAGAAATTATATACAAGAAGAAACTATTTACAACATATTGAAAGATGAAAAAATACTAAGAAATAAAATTACTACATTACTATCATTAGTATTCCTAAGGCTAATGCTAAGGTTTTTATAATTCATTTACATTAATTAGATAATAACTAAAGCCTGGGATTTTGCTTTTCCCTTAAAAGAAAAATATGTTTTAGTATTTTTAATTTCGTTATCAAGAAAATTCCATAAAGGAGTTCCTTTGTTAAATACAGTATATATACGGGTTTTTTACTCACATGTAACTTGTTAGAATTTCGCGTATTATAGTTGTGTATACATCGTTATTTCGTTTGAAGTAATCATTATGAAGTCCGGCAAATTTTGCAATAATTGCGACGATACATGAATAAACTACATAAATAATCAATGATTTGGTAGATGTTCAAAATTTAAAAATAGTTGTTTTGAATGTTCCATTTAGGATTTAAAACGAATTAGTTGAACTTACAATTTTCTTTTGCACATTCAGTAACTTTTGAAGTCTGGTTGGGTACGCTTTTTCCCAAACTAGATTTCCGTACGTGAGGTATGGATAGACTAAAGCATAGTATACCAATTTTAAACTGTTTTTGTTAGTAAAATGTCTTAATTTTGCAATCAAACCCGCGGATTTTATAATATTTTTCTGATCTGGTTCTGTGTTAACGGAAGATACGGACTAGATATTTGGTTGTGAAAAAATCAAGGACATAGAATTATTTCACGAGATGTATGAAACGAATTAATGTCAAATTTCACGAAATATACCTTTCTTGCAAAAATTTTCCAGTCGCTACACTTACGATAAGAATCAGACACAATACTTCAAACTCTTAATGATGCATTTTTCTTGATACATGTATATCATATTGTAGAGCGAGACACAAAAATATTTCATTCTGCTTGTCAGTTTTCTCAGAAAATATCCATTGGTGCTGGGATATCATGACGTTTTCTTTTACGAAGTTTTTTTGCCTAAAATAACAGTGAAAGGAATATTTCAGAAAACTTGAACTTAGGAAAACCATAAAGATTATAATTACGTTGTATTAACCCAGGTAGAGTTCTGGGGAAAAAGTCATCTTTTTCCACTATATAAGTGACTTTGTCCACGCGAAGGAAAAAACGATATTCAGCAATTTGGCCAGCGAAAAAGACATCGCCTCGAAAACTTGTCTGTCCTTGTTGATTACTCACATTCCAGAAATTTGTTTTTTGCTTTGACTTACGCAAACATATATTTTCCTGGTGGAGAATGGCCTTTAAACTCCTTTGCCTCTATACCAATGAAATCTTGCATTAGCCAACACAGAATTTAATTTTTTTCTTGCAGAGATGGTTCAGTCAAAGTGGATGCCGAGGTTATTTACTCTGCAGACCCAAAAAGCAACCATACTGCTTTGTACAGTAATAATCCGACCGTCAACAAGAATGTCTTAGTAGCCGAAACACTGAGAAAGAAAATTCTGGAAGGACGTTTTAAAAATTATGATCTGAAGACTGTTCGCATTCAAGGTACGGGGGAGGCGGTTGTATATATATATATACGACAGCTGGATTACCGCTATCCGCCGGATAGTGGTTTTACAAGCTTTCTCAATTTAAATTGGCATTTGAAATAAAGTTTTTCTGTATTATTATTTTCCATATTCGTCATGGTATCACGTTTCAAGCATTTTTACAGTATCCGCTCGATAGCGCCTGTCATGTCTTCGTACGATTAACGTACGCCAGAGCGACCGGAACGCTGTAGTCTTAATATAAACTATCCATGTCCGAGGAAACTGTGTCTATGGCTGAAGACCAAGGTTAGGGAACAACACCATGATATTTGAAAATAAGAAACATTATTTTTTATCAATGAAAATGAAGCAATCTGATTGGCTGAGGAGCCTTTCAGAGCGGGCCTGTTTTTTGCATCCGGCTCGCTCTGAAATGCAACTGCCCGCTGTGAAATGCCCGCCCTGGTTTTCGCGGCAAAAACCGAGCAGTGAAACAATTTTTAAACGAAAAAATTTGCCAAAAACGTTTGATAAACATAGCCTAATGATAGTCAGAATACGAAAATTAATTCCATCAAGCCCTAAAGGCTTCATATTAAAGCACGATGTTCACCAGAATTGACAATATTATGTGATAGAAATGCGACTGAAAGTCGGAAAGTCATATGACATGTACAAAACTTACGTCGAGAAAACTATATATTTCTTAAATGCTCATGCATGTATTCGGCCACTTAAAAGCGAAAAAATTACAGCTTAAACAGATATTGCAAGATAAATGTTTTCCCATTTAAAAAAAGGTTTAACTGCAGCAGTGAAAACAACTTTAAAAAGTCGCGAATATATTCTCTACCCATTTGTGTCATGTATTTTTCACTGATATAAATATTGTAAACAACGTAAAAGTTTGTGTTTAAAAACATTTTTTCAATCATATTATCGTAAAACGACAGGGAAAAATACAAAAATATAAAAATAACATACCTTTTTCATTGTCCTTTTAGTAGAAAATCAAAACACTCAGATTCATTTTGATATGTTTTTGTACGGATGTGAACATGAACCTGTCGTTGTCAGGAGCAACTGATTTTGTCAAAGCCAAAGCCAAAAAGCCAGGCATGAAAGTTTTTATTCCAAAGCTTCTCTGCTACTATATTCATGAAAAAAGCATGTACATTTTTACTGAAATTATACGTCGTTGTGCGTGTTTCTTGCCAGTTCTCGAGTTTTCGTATGCGTGTTTTATATCTTTCAATTTTTTTCAGCCTCGCTTTGAAAATAGTAAAATACACAACTGCACTGATCTCAAATTAATTCGCAAGCAACACTGGAAATTTAATGAATTTAATTTTTACATTTTATAAAAATATAAACACGTAATCTACCGGCAGCGTCGGTCCGGATGATCGCAGCCGGTAAATAACATATATGTATCGTTATTACTCAAAGTAGCTACTTTTTATCATGCCAAACTGCTTATGGTGTTTTAGGCAAGCCTGCTGCACCAACCAAGCTGAAATTTACTGATAAAACTGAGGACAAAATTCAAATAAGTTGGAGTCAGCCAACAGGAGCAAAGTATTTTGACATAAATGGATACATTGTCGGCCACAAGACCATATCCGATACGCAATACAAGACACAGAGAATTTTATCAAATTCTTTAAATCTGGTCTTAAATAATCTGGAGAGTGATACATTTTACGTATACGTAATCAAAGTGCACGGATTTAATAAAGATGGTGATGGAGAACATAGTGAAATCGAAGTCAAAACTGAACCTTCTGGGAAATCGAGTAAGTATCAGAAAAGATTGTTTTCAAAAGTATCAGGGACCAGTTGTTCAAAGATCGACTAATGCTAATTATGGGCTAAAATTTAACCCATTGCTGTGGTTATGTACAGTACTGATCATAATTATTTGAACACTTGAAATACAGTACTAACATCTTTTCATAAGTGAACTGAAACATTTAGTGAAATGAGTAATTTACTTCAAATTTTTAAAACCCAAGGACATTGAAAGACTTATTTATCGGTAATAAATTGCTTCACTCTTCATAATACAACCTAACAGCCTTAATTTAATATTTGGTGTGGCTATTTTTTGCTTTTATGACTGCTCTGCAATGTTCTGGCATACGGACAATGGAAGGCTTTCCCAGCATCGTTTAAGTTCTAACCAAAGCGTTTCTTTTGTTTTTTACACGCAATTTGTCAAGTTTACGGCGAACTAGTTCCCAAATTTGCTCAATAGGATTCAGGTCTGGCTTGTGCTGGCCAATTCACGATTGTTAAAACACCTGCAGCGTCTCTTCTTAAATAGTTTCACGAATTTTAAATAGTTTCACGGTTTGACGAATGTTTAGGATCGTTATCTTCTTGAAAAACAAAATTATTACTAATTAGCCGGAGACCGGACGGTACTGCATGCTTAGACCCGACGGTACTGCATGCTTACTCCTTATTGTTCCACGGAAAGGATGGAGACATGTTTAAAGAATTTCTGGTGAGTGTTTTGGAACAAACAAAGGTGCAGCATACAGACTGTTTATCCCCTACAGTTGCGGATGCGTTGCTAGAAACCGAGCCTCCCCTAGTCGAATCAATCAAAACTGTTAGTGAAAATAACGTTGATCCTAACCAATCTCCCCCAGAGAACCATACTTGCGCCTGTAGATCTTATACTGCAAATCTAAAAGATGTCAAATTAGACATTTCAGTTATACAAAAACAAATAGAATCTATTAATCGGGTCATAGATTCCACAAACAATATTATAGAATCTATGAGTGTTATCTTGAGCCCCTCAGGCACGGAAAGCCATCAAATATCCTATGACCTTAGAGTTGAAACATTGCTCAGAGAGTTTTCGTCAATTTTAAACGAAAAAAACAGAGAATTGGAGAAACGAGATAATATTATTAATAGTCTTCAAGAAAAATTAATCAAGGTTGAAAGCGAATATCAAAATGTTGAATCCCTAGTTGCAGAACGCCATGAACAAGAACAATGCCAGCACAATAGAAATCATAATTGGCTTATTCATAATGAGAGCAGAAGCAATTTACCTAATGCTCAGGCGGATGATTCCACTATAAATATGCAAAATCAAGAAAATAATGAAAATTTACATCTGGTCAATAACAAAGAAATTGTCCAAATTAAAACTTTTTCTGATAAGGATCAATCGCCCCCTACACGAAAGGTTAAATCCGGACTTAAAGATTCGGTCGAGCTGAAACTACAACCTGTGCCACACGAACCACCTACCTCTAGATCTAATGAACGCTCTCAACAGGTTTTTCTGCCCTTAATGAGTAGCATACCTACAGGTCTGCTACAGTTGAGTAAACAACAGCCGCAAAGTTCCTATAAGGACATAGCTAACAGCGCACCTGAAGATACTGGTGAAGGGAAAATGCAATCTAAAGCTACTAAGGACGATCGAATGTTATTTCCACCTTTCAAACTCAGCTCACACCAACCGCAACCACGACGTCCACAACCGCATATAAATTATTCTCGGACTCGCCCTCGTACTAGACCAGCTCAAACACGAGACCGGCATAATTCCCGGGCTACTACCCCACAATGGCACCTCAGACAAAATACTCCCCTTGTTTCGGTGAATAGGCAGGCAAATTTTCGGAAGAGCCGCTTAAAGCACAGACCCCCTGGCTGGAAAGAATTTCTTGTCTTAGTCAGCCAAATAACCAGGACGCAATAACGAAGTTGAATAAGATCCCTGTGAGAATTACATCTAATCGGACACGTAATTGTATATCAAGGCACAATGTCCCTAATTCACGCACAAATAACTCTAATCTAATTGAAATAATACCTGAAATGAACGCATCTGGTCAAAATAAGCATACAACTACGTCCAAGAACAGTTCTATCGCAGCCAATAAATGTGGTCTTCAAAAATCGAAAATTAATATTGCACTTAGGGATTTAACAGAAATTTCAGAATCTGGTTTTCATCAGTTATGGTTACAAATTCAGCATAAAAAATTGAAATCTTTTCTATTATGCGTTTGTTACCGACCTCCAGATAGTCCTGTATCTTGTTTTACCAATAATTTTATGGATAATTATATCAAAGCACTCACTTTTGGTAAAGATATCATAATTGCTGGAGACTTAAATTGCGACTTGTTAAAGACAGCTCAAGAGGCAAAGGCTTTGAATGATTTTTGTCACTGTTTAAATTTGACACAGTTAATTGATAAACCGACGAGGGTCACGTCACGTTCGTCAACGCTTATTGATGTCATGATGACTTCAAATAAAGATTTGATTGCAGAAATTGGAGTGCTTGAAACCTATATTAGTGATCATTTTCTGGTTTACTGTTCACTCAAACTAAAGTTGATAAAACCGCATCCAATTTGCATCACTGCAAGGAGTTATAAGCATTACGACCGAAACCAATTCCTCTGTGATTTGGCATGCATTCCGTGGCATGAGAATTTATTTGTTGAAAATGTAAATGATAAACTGTCGCATTTTGATAGTAATTTTCAAAATGCATTGGCTAGGAATGCACCAATTAAGACAATGAAAATAAGACATCGACAAGTACCATTTGTTGACGATGAGATCAAAGAACTGATGAAAAATAGAAAAAGATTACACAAATTTGCTCGTCTAACCCGAATGCCATCTGATTGGGAGAAATATCGTGCGCTTCGAGATAAAGTTAAATGTAAGCTACGCCAAGCAGAAAAAGATTATGTACACAATGAAATATATAATAACCCAAATATAGCATCGATGTGGAAAGTCATCAGGAACTGCGTTCCACGTAAAGAGACCACGAAACCAAGTTATTCCGGAGATGTTAAGAAATTAGCTAATAAAGTCAATACCTTTTTTACCTCAGTGGGGATAAATACATCAGCAACTGCATTGGCATTGCTTACTGAACATGGACTACCCATACTGAATCCACCAACATCTACCGAAATACCTGAGATCGATCAGTTTTATTTCCATTCAGTATCGTGTAGTGAAATAAGTAGGGTTGTTATGTCCTTTTCATCAAATAAGGCACCAGGATTTGACAAAGTATCAATGGCTGTGATCAAGGACGCCTTGCCGTACATCCTTCCTACACTTACGCAAATTGTTAATTGTTCCCTGGAAACAGGTGTTTTCCCAACAGCCTGGAAGAAAGCAGAGGTTATCCCACTTCTGAAGGAAGGGGATTATGAAATTCCGAATAATAATCGGCCCGTGTCGTTGTTAGTGGCTGCATCTAAGATCTGTGAACGCGTGGTATTGAAACAGCTAACAGAGTATATGACAAAGAAGAAAAATTTACTAAACATCAAAGTGGAAATAGGAAGTTACATTCAACCGAAACATTAAACATATTCATCTCAGATTTAATTCTCCAGTCCATGGATCGTAGAGAAGTGACTGCTTTACTCTTACTGGACTTGTCTAAAGCTTTTGATAGCTTAGATCATTCCATTCTGCTAAGAAAACTTTCGAATATTGGAATCTCGAAGCCTGCGTTGTTTTGGTTTAAAAGCTATTTGACAGGCAGGTGCCAATCAGTACGTATTGCGTCAGTGTTATCTGATGAATGTGAAATAACTCGCGGTGTTCCGCAGGGATCGATACTGGGTCCGGTGTTATTTAATATATATATCAACGACTTGCCTGGTGTACCCAAGGAGTCCAATTTGGAGTCGTACGTGGATGACTCAAAAATATATTTAGCATTCTCAATCAGGGATGCCGAGTTGGCAGCTATGAAACTCACTGAAGACATGCGAAGAATTACCGCCTGGTGCTGTCTTAACAGTTTATTGGTGAATCCAGAAAAAACTAAGTTGCTTATATTAGATACTAGGCAAATGTTAGAACAGGAACCTGAAAATTTTCAAATAACTATCCTTGGTGAGAATATTACTCCAGTTGCTGTTGCAAAGGATTCAGGGATGATATTGGACTCATGTTTGAGCTACGACGAACATATCGCAAGCGTTGTTTCATCTTGTATCGCTGGACTGGGCCAAATTAGCAGTGTTAAACATATCTTTGACAGAAAAACATTAATTCTTATTATAAATTCCCTGATTTTTAGCAAAATGTATTACTGCTCTGCTGTTTGGTCTAATACATCCCAAAGAAATATCGAGAAACTTCAAGCGGTCCAGAACTTTGCTGCACGTATTGTTACAGGAACAAGAAAATACGATCACGTGACTCCTGTTCTGCAACAACTGGGCTGGCTTCCAGTTAAATACATGTTAAAATTAAGAGAAGCCATTTTTGCTTTCAAATGCTTGAAGGGGTTGGCATCATTGTATTTGCGTGAGAAGTTCCATGTCAGGTCAGATGTTCATGGCGTTAACACAAGGCAAAAGAACATTTTGGATATACCAATGTACAGATCAGCTGCGAGTCAACGAACATTTCACTATAGGGTTGTGTCCTTGTGGAATTCTCTGCCTCAGTCTCTTGAAAACATTGATACTTTGACTCATTTTAAAGTAGAATACAAACGTATGTTATTAGAAGAATTTTTAACTGTAAGTGGTGTTTAACAGATTTATAGAATATTTTAGAACTA